TTTACCTTTAAAAGACAACTGAAGGCAGCCCTGTTTAGGGAAGTTTTTAATGTCTGATGCTGTACTGTTTTTAATATTCAGTTGGAAGCCGCCCAGAGTGGCTGGGGAAACCCAGCCAGATGGGCGGGGTATAAATAATAAATTATTATTATATTATATTACATGATTAAACTCTCAAGTAAGAGCATCATGCTTCACAGGATCTGGAAAATAAGCACCTTTCCCCCCAGAGCATCTGGCAACATACATCCAGTAATATCACATATTGTTTGTAGAACCTCAGCTTGATACTTTTAGCTTTTCAGGAAATAGTTCTTGGTAGTTTACCTCTTTCAGCTGGTACTGGACCCTATACAAATAATTTTCTCCAAAAGAGAGGTACAAATTCCATCTCAATATTATGTGAAAGACAAAGAAAAAAAACAACTTTCCGTTTTCCATTTATACTGCCTGAGATGCTCCTTCACATTGCCAAGTTCTTTATCTTGCTGCTTCACATAATGAATCTCTTTATTGTGGCATAAGTTTTCCCGGCCACAGCCAATTTCATCAGATGAAATGGACTGTGGTCGACAAAAGCTTATGCCATAATAAATATGCCAGGGTTGCATCCAATGATGGTCACATTCAGAGCAGATCCATTGAAATTAATGGGCATGGCTAACTAAGGCCCACTAGAATTTAGTTGGATACATCCTATAACCCTTAAGTCTTTAAGGTGTCACAAGACGAGATTAAATACTGGCTTATTATTCTGTTCTGACACATAATCTCCATTATAATGTGCATTCCAGGCAACAATCGACTGACGCGCAACTGAACACATCACAGAGACCTGGAAGTGGCCAGAAAAGGGAGCCTAACTAGGTGGGGTTGTAACAGGGTGTAAGGGTCTTATGCACACTCCGCCCGGGGTAAGGAATGTAACCCCCTATACTAATCAGCCATTGCCTTTACTTAAAAATTCTGAAGTAAACCGCCAATCCTGTAATATTTTGATAGCCTAAAATTCTCATTCTGCCACTAATCTGTGTAATTAGCACTGACTTTATGCATTTAGACCTCTTACCCAAAAATATTCACAAGCAGTAAAGGACTGGTGGACACAGTTCCGTTTAACACAGAGAATCCTGAGGAGTGACGTAGGGTATATACAGATTACTTTATACCAGCTAGATATTCAAAGACATCTGTCAAGCAGAATTCAGTAAGCCAGGAGGGCGGGGAAAGGGATTAAAAAGATCAATAAATCAAAATGGTAAGGACCCAACAATCTATTTTATCTACGTAAGAGAATATGCATATTTTTTCGCTTCCTTGCTCCATGGCTTCCCGCTTTGGCTTCAAAGGCTTTTAAAGCATTCCTAAGCTGCAAAGACCCCCTTGAGAACTTGTTGGGGGAGTAAGAGAAAAGAGGAAGTATTACTCCAGCTTGGTTGGGAAAAGTCCCACGACACCAGGCATAGGCAAACCTGGCCCTCCAGCTGTTTTGGGACTACAACTCCCATCATCCCTCGCTAACAGGACCAGTGGTCAGGGATGATGGGAATTGTAGTCTCAAAACAGCTGGAGGGCTGAGTTTACCTATGCCTGCACTACACAAACAAGACAGACCAGTGTATTTCTCCAGATCGCAGCCGGGGGAGAAGAGAAGTTAAACAAAATTTTAGCCCCACAAAAGAATCTATTTTTGTGTTGAAATTAGTATGTGAAAATGATAAAGGCAGGGCCAATACATCAGAGTTGATTGGCAACACCTCCACTACTGCGATCAAATCAGGACTCTTGAAGTTCCAACTGCATTTCAAGCAATTTCATTCTGTATGCTGGCAGGATGTAAAAGGACAGTATACAGAAGATAGAATCCAGGGCAAGACTATGCATGAATCTCCATAAATCCAACAGGAAATGAACTTTGGTATGTGGCCTCATTAGAAGCAATATGTGGTTTTCCCCCCTATAAATGTCATCTAAAGCTGCCAGTCCATCAGGCTGTAGGAGAGGGAGAGGCAGAGATGAGACCAGAGGGCCTCTCTGCCAATTTTGGGCCCTCCTCTCTCCGAGGGCAGGGACTGACTTATCCCTGCCATTTGTAACATTTGTTTTAGTAAAGGTAAAGGGACCCCTGACCATTAGGTCCAGTCGTGGCCGACTCTGGGGTTGCGGCGCTCATCTTGCTTTATTTGCCGAGGGAGCCGGCGTACAGCTTCCGGGTCATGTGGCCAGCATGATTAAGCTGCTTCTGACGAACCAGAGCAGCGCATGGAAATGCCGCTTACCTTCCCACCAGAGCGGTACCTATTTATCTACTTGCACTTTGACGTGCTTTCGAACTGCTAGGTTGGCAGGAGCAGGGACCGAGCAACGGGAGCTCACCCTGTCACAGAGATTTGAACTGCCAACCTTCTGATCGGCAAGTCCTAGGCTCTGTGGTTTAACCCACAGTGCCACCCGCGTTTGTCTTAGGCTATATCAAAGCTCATTGCCTTCATAACAGAATTTCAATTTAATTAAGGAAGGAGGACTATGCCATCTTCCAGAACACACATCTCACCAAGTTATCTTGGGCAAGCACCTGCTTTACGTACAAATGGGTTTCAGGGTCAATTATTGGAATCTCCAGGTAGGGGTGAGGGTAGGAGGACATGACTGAAACCAGGGAGCCACTCCCAGCCACTGTAGACAATGCTGCGCTAGATGAAACAATGGTCTGACTCAGTTTCCTCCACTCCTGTTCTCTGCCTTATTTGACCTCGCAGGTTTGGTTTTTCTCGTGAGGATAAACTTCCCCTTAAGAGACCCCCAGAAAAACACTGGGATATAAATGTAGCAAGTAAAAAAATGCTTGTATAGATGCACGCAACGCATTTCAAAGTAGTTCACTGAAGCATAAAATCACAGCATTGGATGAATCTAGCCATCATATAAAAACCACTCCATAATTCCATTCCAGCTGCTCATTACAAGAACTCTGCAACTAAGAAATAGCGCCTAAGATTCCTTTTTTTCCTCCTCCCTCCCAATCCCTTTTCCTTTTGTGTCATGTCTTTCAGTTTGTAAGTTTGAGGCAGTGACTGTTTGTCTGTAAACCGCTCTTGGAGCCTTTCTTTGGCTTTAGAACAGGATAAAAATGTTATAGATAAAAGAATAAATAAATAAATCAGCTGAATAAAGGCAGAATAATCCATCCGCAAAAGCCAGTAAAAAAAACCCCCACATCAAAACCACCCAATAATTTTAAATATGTATTACATCCATTTACAAACCATCTATTGCTTTTTATTGCGTATTTTAGGTGCTCTTGTAAAGGATCGCTGTGCTTATTTTATTCTAGCTCCAACTGAACTGCTACTTTCTGGACATTTCCCTCTGAACCCAATACAGCTTCCCCCTCCCGACTCACATAAAGTCCATACCATAATAAAATTTGTCAATCTGTAATGTGCCACAAGACTATTTGTTCTTTTTCCCCCCTGCAACAGATGAACAGATCCCCTTTTAGAATCTATAAACTGCTGTAATCAGGAAAGTGACACCCTAGAGAATCAACACAGTCTTCTTAAATTTTAATATCAGTGACTGATACCCAAAAATCCTCTAAACAGGTTTGGTGGCATTTGTGCATCCCGGGGCTTAACGACTTGCTCCCCTACTCCCTAAAAGCAACATCTTCTCACTCAGTATGGAGTAATAGTGTTGGGAATCAATAAGAGATAAAATATGGCTAACATTTATTAATAATAATAACAATTAGGGACCCCATCTCGGACTTTTCCTGGGGAAAAAGAAATGATTGATTCTGAGACACTTTAACTTAAAGGAAATACAGTACTGTTTAACTGAAAGTGGAGAAGATGGATGTTCACATGGACCGAAGGTTTTAAGTAATCATATTTTATTCTTTTATGTAAACAGCAGAAGGAAAATCAGAAGTTCCTTTTCTGTATTTTTTTGCTAATCTTTCTTTTCTTTTGATTTATTTTATTTTCTCTTTCTCTATATTTCCTCTCTTTATTTCTATTGTTTGTTTCTTTTCTTCTGGTTTTTCTCCTTTGTTTTGTTGTTCTCCTTCCCTGTTTAGGGAAGTTTTTAATGACTGATGTTTTAATGTATTCTTAACCTTTCGTAGGAAGCCGCCCAGAGTGGCTGGGGAAACCAAGCCAGATGGGTGGGGTATGTATGTTATGTATGTATGTATGTATGTATGTATAAATAAATAAATAGAGGTTTGTTTGTTTTTGCAATTTCACTGTATTATGGGAAAATCTCATTTTTTAAAAGAGCAAATTCATTTTTGTGAGCTTCAAATTTTGGAAACTCAAAAGGGGTGTGTATGTGTTAAGGGAGGCTATCTTGCTGAAAAAATGATAGCAAAACAACTTCAAGGTCTGCTGTCTTTGCAGGACCAACCACGCAACACAAAATCAGTTTATGTAATGCACATTCAATTTTGTAACTCACATTCCCATGCCATTGCTTAGGAAAAAGGTACCAGCTAATATACAAAATTGCAATTCAAGTAACATTGTTTCAACATTTAAAACAAGAAGATAGCATTGTGCAAATGTGTTTCATAATGTGAGCAAGTACTGTATGGCTGAATGGACGCCTCACGATAAAAACTTCCCCGAGAGAGTAAACTAACACCACTTATTTAGGGTTGCCATCTTTCAAAAAGTAAAACACCAGATGCAAAAGTTGTTGAGCTTTAAGGAAATTAGGCAAAAACTAGACTTCCGACATGGGCTGCCATACGTCCAGATTTCCCCAGCCATTTCTGCCTACACACTTGATTCCGACTACTGTATTCCAGCTATGTCCAGGAAATTCCAGACGTATGGCAACCCTAACTTATTGCAGCCTCCATTCTGGACTACAAACCCCATCAGCCTCAGCCAGCATAGCCAAAATGTCTGAAGGGCACCAGGTTGGCTAAGACTGTCACAATGTCTCTTTGAAACAAAATTTTAAAAAAAATCCTTCCAGTAGCACCTTAGAGACCAACTAAGTTTGTTATTGGTATGAGCTTTCGTGTGCATGCACACCTCTTCAGATACACTGAAGTGTGTTTCTGAAGTGTGCATCTAAAGAAGTGTGCATGCACACGAAAGCTCATACCAATAAACTTAGTTCGTCTCTAAGGTGCTACTAGAAGGAATTTTTTTATTTTGTTTCGACTACGGCAGACCAACACGGCTACCTACCTATATCTAGAACAATGTCTCTTTGGTCACTCAACAGACAGTTGAATGCCCACAGCGGTCCTGTTGCCTCTTCGGATCAGAGGATCTGGTTCGCATTATAGTCTTTAAAATGTGTTTGCATGAGCTGCTACAGAGGGGGTTTTCCTGCAGTCTCTGTTATCCACGTTTAGCCTGTCTGCAACAACCACAGTACTGCCTCATGCTTTTCACAGTTGCCCCTTATCATATGCAATTGTTTGTTTCACTGTGGCACGTGTATTTTAATGTTAAGTGCCTTGGAGGATTATTCCTCTATCAGTGTATATTAAACGTTGTGTTGCATACAACAGTGTATTTGCATTTATGTACCACCTTTCTGTCAAGGCACCCAAGGAGGCTCAGAGCTTTAAAATGCCTAAACAGATGAATCACATAAAAAGTAAAGTTGACCAGGAGTTGGAGGACAGTTCGACAAGAGCAGATTCCCACCCACCCATCCCAATGCTGTTGGCATTGTTTTGGTTGTTATACACAGTGGTACCTTGGTTACAGACGCTTCAGGTTACATACGCTTCAGGTTACAGACTCCACTAATCTGGAAGTAGTACCTCGGGTTAAGAACTTTGCTTCAGGATGAGAACAGAAATCGTGGTGGCAGTGGGAGGCCCCATTAGCTAAAGTGGTCCTCAGGTTAAGAACAGACCTCCAGAACGAAATAAGTTCTTAACCCGAGGTACCACTGTACAGTCATACCTCATGTTACGTTTGCTTCAGGTTGCGTGTTTTCAGGTTGTATCCCGGGGCGACCCGAAGGTACTCACGCATGCGCAGACGAGCAAAATGATGTCACGCACATGCGCAGAAGAGGCAAATCGTGACCCGCGCATGCGCAGACGCGGGTTGTGTTCTTTTCAGGTTGCAAACGGACCTCCGTAATGGATCCCATTTGCAACCAGAGGTACCACTGTACAGCCACCTTCAGTATATGCTTACACTATTGTTCATAATCCTGGACAAGGAAGATTCTAGTCAGTTTGCCCAGAGAAGCCTGGCATCTGCCACCCCTAACACATGGCTTCCCTCCAGAAACCTGGCTCCTTATAGCAGTGTTAGAAACTCAGATATATAGGTGCCAAATGGTGCCTTGAACCAGGGTTTAAACAGAATGTCTAACTGCCATTTTGGGGCCAGGTAGCTCGAAAGTTGTATTTTTCAATACCATTTTTTGTTCCTGAAATTTGTTCCGATTGTGCAGATAAAATAACCCAGATAGAATTCCAAAGGATGCGCTGTTAGCGTGTGAAAACAGTCAGGATCCAAGGATCCCCTGGCATGCACCTCCAGATGGTGGAGACGTCAGGCACCATCCTGGCAACGGGCCATCTTCACTTGGTCGCAGGTGGCCGATAGCCAGGTGCAAAATGCACCTGGTGAATTCTGAACATTGCTCCTGATTGCACTCCAGATTATTGATTAGAATACAATAGTGGGCACTGAACCGAGAGCGGCAGGTAATCAGTAGGTGGACTCCTTCGCAACTGGATTTTATATACGTGAGGTTATTTAATCCTAGGCAAAGGGGCTGCTGACAAGAACACACAACACTGCAAGAACAAAAGAAACACCTACTTCAAAAATTGTCAGGGGCTTATGATGACGAAGGCCAATGATTTATGCAGACGTCAGAGATGCTGGGATACTAGACAGGAACAAGGAGAGGAAAAAATGGAATCAAATGACAGCCATGTGAGTTTACGAACGCAAGCCAGTCACCTGAACCAGCAACCGCAGGGCTCTGATGCATCTGCTGATCTTACAGCTTTGTTCTGTCTATAATGCTTTTTTTATTTATTTGGGAGGCCAAGATGCCCCTGGAAAAAAATTCATCCATGGGGCAGGAATACCGTGGCAACCTCTGATTCCCAGCATACTCAGAAGGACCCATCATGGGCAACAGCTGTTGGTAGATCTGATTTCATGCAAGTAGTCTAATCCTTTTCCCTTTAAAAAAAAAAAAAAAGAGTGCTTTTTCGCATCTATTCTCCCCCCCCCCCCGTTTTTTAAGGTCACCTAAGCTAGTGACCATCACAAGATCCTGTGAAAGCAAATTCCCTTCAATTATGTGGAAGAACTTATACCATATATATATATATATATATATATATATATATATATATATATATATATGCACTACTTACTCTAATAGGGACAAAACAAAATCTTAAATCCTGCCATAACAGCAAATAAGGGCTTCTTGGGGTGGCATTCAGATGGCATTTTATTCCCCCTTCCCAACATTTCTTTCTATCTTCCTGTTTCATGTGATGTAAAAGCCCCTTCTGGAAATCTGGGGGGGGGGGGGAGGAATTGTTTGCAACCCTTTTAACTTGGAAAATTGCAGAAGGTTGCACTGTAATTTTCCTGCAGTTTTCCTGATATGATGAAATGTGGAGCAGTATCCCAGTCCCGTTCTTTTCTGCCGTTTAAAATTTGTGAGATGTGGCAGCATATTGATCAAAGAGTCGCAGTTCCTCAACACAGCAGCTACTGCAGTGCAAAAGGAACGTTAAAATCAGGATAGAAGCGCTAGCATTATAACCAGTGAAACATATGCAATAGATTCTACACCTGAATGCCACCTGGGAGGCAAAATGCACAGGGCTGCATCAACACCACGCATTTAAAGCACAACAGTTTGCTCAATGAATCCTGGGACAGTAGTTTGCTAAGGGTGCTGGGGACTGAAGCTCTGTGAGCGGTAAACTACATTTCCCAGGACTCTCTGGGGGAAAGGCATGTAGTCTAAATGTATGGTGTGGGTATCATGAACAGGAATGGGAGTAACAACAAACGGCTGAAAGAAGATCTGCAGAGTCAATGCTTATATTTGGGATCTTGGGGATATATTATTATAGTTGTTGTATTTTATTTTTTTATATCCCGCCTCTTTCCCAGACCAGGACTCAGGCAGGTTCTGGCTAAAGGCAAAAACTACAGGGAAATCAGCCAGACCAGGGAGAAAAGGTTCCTAACACCAAACTATCAGAATGAAGCACGTACTAAACAGAGGCCCAGGCTTGCTCACTTGCAGGAGTAAAAAAACAGGCACTGCTGCTCTTTGTTAGGCTGCCTTTGCATCACCCTGTCCTGTGTGTTTTGACACACATTTTACCAAATGGGAAAAAAGAAAACTTGCAGTTTTTAAGCCTGCAACAGGTAAAGAAAAGAAAAAGTATATTCATGCAAGAATATTTAAAAGGCAGAACTGGCAGTGCAGAGAGTGGCTAGAGCAGGCTAGGAGGAAAGGCCTGCTGTGCCTTCGGTAGCCAATGTGGTGCCCTCCAGATGTTGGGACTCCCAACTCTCACCAGCATGTCAGCAGTCAGGATTAAGGCGGCTGTAGTTCATCACATTGGCTACTTTGTGCTAAGTGTTTGCTAAAACAGGCTGCTGTCAGATTACTGGGCGCTTGGGTTGTGAAGGGGCCATAGCTCAGTGGTGGAACACACGCCTTCCTATTAGGAAGTTCTCCAGTTAGGAAATCTAGGAAGAACCTCTACCTGAGATCCTGAATAACTGCAAACAATCACAGTTGACAGAACTGGGCAAGATGGACCAAAGGACAGAAAGTTGCTTGTTCACTATGCATTTGGACAGGTAACCAAATTCTGCATGGTGGCTCCAGAGATCGAGGAGCAGGTTTTCGTCTATGTTTGGATACGACTGGATGCACTGATCTTTTTGTTTCTTCAAGTTACAGAGCAGCACTGGGTACAAGGCTGCTAATATATTCATAAACAGGACACCAAAAATATTATTGCATGGGGTATAAGTAAAATATTTATACTTCTTCGGCCATACCACTTCTTCCATGTCTTATTTACAGCCATTTAACTGCAAAAGAATCAACCCATCATTTTGCAGTAGTGCCATGCCCTGGCTCACAACACTGGTACAGAGCAACACGTCACAGTGGTGTACGGCTATAGCAATGGCTCCTGACCATTTCTCTGCAAAGGACAGAAAGCCACAGCACTGAGCCTTTTGCTTTTCAGCAAATTTTAAGATGCAGCTTACCAATACGACCCAGAGTTGAAACGGCTGCAACCCAGCAAAGAGTCACACCTCACTTTGTGGAAAACCACAGTTGCTGCAAGCACCGAAGGGCAAGAGATGATGACAGATTATGAAATAAAACCTGTTTCGGCTTTCTCACAAACAATCCAGAGAGAGGGGCCAACAATGGAACAGAAACAGATTGAAGTGGATCCAAAAGAAGGAATTCAGCTGTGTGCTAATGCGATCATGCTGTCAAATGCAAGCTTTTCTGCTCACTTGCTGTAACACACTGCTCTGGGGTTTCTCTTGACCCCTGGAGCCAATTTGGGAGGGAATTCCTGTTGTCCTAGCAGGACTCACTGCTCCTACGAGAGCCACTATTTCGTTGAATCTGGCCCAAAATCTCCTCCTGAGGGAAGCTGCTTGCAATACAATGTAATATATGACAAATTATTATCAAGCAGCTTGGGGTGTTGTTGTTTTTGAGGATTGCATTTCATCCTATTACCAAGCCCAGAATTTGTTTGTCAATAGAAACGGGTTCTTAAAACAAGTCTGCATCGCTACAACATGCAGCTTTATCGTTCAGTGTTCATACACCTTAAGATGTGTATACAACGCTTGTTCCAAGGAGGAACTGGCTGTGGCTTCAGAGAACGGACAAGAATGAGGCGAGGGGGAGAGAAAGAGAAAAGGGTTAAAGAGGAAGTGCTTTTGTCTGCCTTCTACAGAACATCAAAGGCTGCTTCCTTCCATAGCTATTGATTGAAGGGAGAAATGGGCCCATGTATATATTTGAGAGGATGGTTCACATGTGTGCAGACTTGTGACTGGATGTGTCTTGGGATGCTACATATGTGCATATTTGGCTATCGCTGAGTGCAAAGGAGAGCAA